TGACAGTTCAAGGTTCAACATTCCTGGTCTAAACCACGACAGATACAGGAAATACAGTCATACCAGGTGATACCTCAAAATCAGCAAAGCCAAGCTCAGCACTCACAACCCCTGCAGCCATGGCTGTGCTGATCAGTACTGTACTCCCAGCAAACACACCTGCCAAGCAAAAGACAACAAAAACCCAAGAGCTGAACAGGAGAAGCAAGGAGAAGAGGCAGCCAGTCATCAGCACAGCGACCAACAAACAACTCCAGCAAACAACTTATTGAAAAGGCCAAATAGCCTTTTATTGATCCCTACCCAGGAGCAAATGTACTTGTACCTATTTAATGCTGCTCGTTTTATCATTAGCTTCAGAGTGGCACAACCATAGGCTTCCTGGTTCTGCTTTTGATCTTTAAATCAATCCTTCATTCCATTCCCTTCCCTTCGGAGGGTGATGGGAAAGCAGGTCAGAGCAGCAGTTCAGTGTAAGAGGCACAGAAACATCTCACTAACTACAGGAGAAGGTTTCTGCCTGCCAGGGCTATTCCTCAATTCATCATTCCAAGATAAGAATCCCTGGCATTACCAGAGGTGAGATGCACGTACCTGCCTGCCATCCTGTCCCACGTTGGTCTGTCCTCTCACCACAGTTCGAATGTTGTCATCCAACCTCCTGGAGAAAAGAACCCAAGAATGCCAAACTCAGTCTTTCTGTGCCTGACCCAAACAACTGTGGGAACCCTGACAGCTACAGAACCAATTTTAAATAAAAAAGCCAATGCTACCAATGATAAACTCACTTTTTGACCCCTCCTCTCTCTGTTGGAGATCATTATCTTATATCATTTAAAAACTCCTGTTGCAAAAATAAAAATCAATTTCTTAATTCAATCAGGGCTTCTTGCAGTTCTCCTCCTTTAAGCAATATTGTCAGCTCTGCCTTGTCTGTTTGCATTTCAGCTTTCCACATGTTAAAGTGCTGTTTAAAACACTGCAGGTTGGTAATGTCAGACTGCACAGGAAATCTAAGCATTTCCTGCCCTCTTATATCTGTTTTGTACTTATAGGACCAATACTGCCAATTAAAAAATACATGAGTTTTACAATTGATATTTTAGCATCACGAAACATAAATTCATGGCAGTTGAGTCTTCTGGGCAGTTTGTTCTCTCAGTCTTCAAACTGTTCTAAAATCTGGAAAGATTTGGTACTTTTTGATTCGTCGTTTTTTTTTTCAAAGCTGCACTTTGCAACTCATCAGCTAAAATAACATGAAGGGCATGTATTGCACAATACAGGTGAAATATAAAGAATTATAATAAAGGTAGCACTATTAGCCTCGAGGCTGAGCCTACTCATGCCTTTCAAGCAAATTAATTCCTATCAGCTACAGTGCAAAGGCTGCATTTATGAAGTCTCAGTGACAACCAGAGACACAATGAAACAGAGAAGTACTTACCTTATTTTCAATCTGATTTTGTTCACAACTTCATCAATGTTTGCCAAAGACTAGAATATGAAGAAAAAAAAAAATCAGAGGGAAGTGAAAGGGCGGATGTTTTACAAAGATATATGTCAGCTGTGATCCTGAACACTGTAGCCCTTGTGGCTCCTGACAAAGAGGAGAGCAATGGCTTTGTTTTACAGGTGGAGGAACTGAGACACACAACAACTCAGCTGCTTCTCTGCTACATCACAAAGAGCAGCAAAAGACAGGCCAGGCCAAGGCTCCTGCCTGCCCCTATCCCTGAGCTCTGCCTTGTCCTTTGTCAGCAGAACTGCTCCCAAAAGCCGTGTGACAGTGACCTCCAGTGGGCAGTGGGGATGGGGACAGAGCCTCTGCCTTTCCTGGGCAGAGACCCTCTTGCAGAGCCACACACCCCTAACACAATCTTTAGCTGCAGAAACATCTCTTTTTCGCAATATGTTAGTCCAGAACTCCCCCCAGGGCTGATGTGGGGGAGACAAAGTGCAGATATGAGCCCACAGCAACCTCATTCTTTAAATCTCAAAAGAAACAATGGTTCAAACACGAATGACTCTCCTGCAAAAGGCAACACCTGCCTGATTTGGCTGAAACCCCTGAGAACTCAGCAATGATTAACACACAGTGAATTATGACATTTACTGCAGGAGAAACATCTACACAGAAACTAATTTACTTCTAAGATCAAAGCAGGACTCCTCCTGCAGCAAGCACTCTGGGTAGAAAGAGACTACATAACAACAGCAAACCTTGTAAGATCCAAATTTAAGAAGCAATTATTGTTATAGCCTCATTAGCTGTGTTACTCTTTAAAAGAAAAGGTTTAGGTACAGGTTTAAACACACCTTTAGTCATCTACTATCAGGTTACCCCAAGAGTAAAGGGTGAAAGTAAAACCTGATTGTAAAAAAGTACGAAAGTAGAGTCTGAGAGGGCTGTGCTTGGAGCACTACTTACTTGCTCAGTGGGAAAGAGAGCATTAATATACTCCACAGCATTGAAATCTGCTCTGTCCAGTGGATCTTGGCTGGGAAACACCTGAAGAGAGGGAGGAAAACAAACAGAATCAACAACCACTGATAATTTCTGTAACTCTACACACTATCTACCACTTCTAATTACTTCAGCACCCACTTCTGATTGTATCTCACATTGTTCTAACAAGTGGCCAGGCCTCTGCCCAGGAGTAGAGCAGCCACATGCTATGCAGGTCTCTGACCTACCAAAATTCCTGTGGTTATCAGCCTGGATAAACACAGATAACTTACACACATGCTTCCACATACAGCCCTGGCACAATCCATCAAGGAATTCCCAGGACACACGAGCCATTAATCAAACCATCCTGAAGTTTTTGCTGTTGTCTGGGAACAAACTCCAGCACTGAGGCTCTGCCCTTCTCTTGGCCTGGGCTTTGCAAGGCCCCGTGGTGACAGACAGATGATTTGCTTTTCACAGCCTTGTAATAGGAAACGTGAAGAATTAAGAAGTGGTTGTACAAGTTCTCTGGAGACTTGGGTTTGCCACATTTCACAGAAGAGGGGGAGAATAAGAATCTGCTGAATGATTGTTCCTACTCATGGGAAAAGAGCAGCTGTGGTGCAAACAGATCCCATCTCTCCTCAGAAGAAACTCAAATTATACAAATGTGGCTGCCAGGCTTTGCTTTCTGTCCCCGCAGACTAAAATGTGGTGCTTTCCCTTCCCTCCTACCACACTAAAGTTGTGGATGCCCCATCCCTGGAAGTGTTCAAGGTCAGGCTGGACTGGGCATGGAGCAACCTGGTCTAGTGGAATGGGTCCCTGAACCAGCCCTCTTGGGCAGCTTTCCCAGTCACTCCTGTGGCCAAGGAGAAGCAGGCAGCAGTTAAACATGCATGAGGATGAGGCTGCGCTGAGTGAGGAAGACGCTCTGACGTCAGCCCATAGTAAGAGCACAGCTGCAGCATCACACCCAGCCTTGTCAGATACACTCCACAAATCCCAAACCCCCACAAGTATTAAGAGCAGATGAAACAAGAGGTGAGATGGAAGATAAAGGTTGGTAAGGAGCTCCACTCAAACTGCAGATAGAGATCAGTGCTGCAGGCAGCTGGAGCAGCTGAAGGAGTTGTCACTCCCAGGAGTTTGTCACAACCCATTAATCAGAAATACTACACCAGGTTTGGTGGAGCACCAGCCTGCCTGTGCTCCCCACCCTGCTTCAGGCAGGTCAGCTGAGCCAGCTCTGCTCACTGAACCACAACTGGGCAGGCTTTGCCCAAAGCTGATTAAGGAACACTCAAAGGAACAACAGTGTTATTGGGTTGAGAAGTGCCAGTGAGGAAGTGATGGAAGGCAGGAGGTGGTGTCATCCTCAACATCTCCCCTTGCTCAGGATGTGAATATCTGCCTACAGCTCTACTGCCTCCCCCCCCTCCTGGTGCTCACTTGGGATGCTGTGCCAGCTCCCAGGGTCTGCCCTAATTCTTCAAGGGAGAGCCATCAGAAGTGAGCCACAAGCCTCAACATTCAAAACAATGAAAAAACTTATCTTTGTGATACTTTGTGAGACAGCTGCTGCTGCTGCCCACAGACTTCTGCTACAGCAAAGAGCTTTTAGGATGGAAGGGTTGGCTGCAGGCAGTGCAGGCTCACAGAGGACAAGAGACATGGTTTCACCCTGGGTTCTCATGGGATTTTGAAAGGCTTCAAGCGCCACAAAGGGTTTCAGGGAAGCCTGGAGGACTTGGGCTGAACACAGAATAACAGAATATCCTAAGCATCATCTAGTCCAACTCCTGGCCCTGCACAGGACACCCCAACGATCCCAGCCCAGCCCCAACAATCCCACCACGTGGTGAGAGCATTGTCCAAACACACCTTGAGCTCTGTCAGGGCCGTGACCACTGCCCTGGGGAGCCTGTTCCAGTGCCCAAACACCCTCCTGTGTATCAGCCACAAATCAAAACAAGCCATTCAGATTACCCTGACCTCCACTGAGCCACAGGCATCCGAGTGCACTGAGGTGCTTCACACACCACGGAACGCGCCTGCAACCAGCGACAGAGCCCTGCGCTGCTGCAGAGCCGATGGGGACGCGGGGGGGACACGCTCAGCACAGGCCCGAGCACCTCGGACCCGGGGGTCCGAGCCCAACCGGGGCTGACGGGGCTCTGCCCGGGGCTCCTCAGGCCCAGCAGCGGGGAAGGCCCGGAGAGCGCGGCGGGGACTCGCTCGGCCCCAGGCCCTCACCGAGCGGCCCCAGGCCGCGCCCCACAGCTGCCCCCTCACGGGGGGACCCGTCCCGGCGCACCTGCTCGATGGCGGCCTGCACGGCGGGCACCAGTTCCAGCGCCGCCTCCAGCCCGGCCTCCAGCTCCGGCTCGTCCTCCTCCATGGCGGCGCCGCTTCCGCCGCGCTGAGGGGCGGGGTCTGTGCGGGAGGCGGTGCCTATATGGGCGTGGTCTCGCTGAGGGGCGGGGCTTGTGCCTGCGGGGGCGGGGCCTCCCGCCCGGCGGAGCGGGGCGAGTCCCGGCGGCGGCGGCGGGGCTGGACCGGACCGAGCCCAGCTGAGCCGAGCCTAGCTGGGCTGAGAGGGGCCGAGCCGAGCGGAGCTGAGCTGAGCCGATCCGATCCAATTCAAGCTGAGCTGAGCTGAGCCCATCCGATCCAAGCTGAGCCGAGCCGAGCCGATTCGATCCAAGCGGAGCTGACCCGAGCCGAACTGAGCCGAGCCGCCCCGGGCCCTCCCGCCGCCCGCCCGGCTGTTGACAAGCGGCGGCGGGAGTCAGCGCGCTCGTCCCCATGTGGCGGACGCTGGCCCTCGCCTCCGCCTTCTTCCCGGGGCTCTTCGTCCTCTGCATCCGGTTGCTGCGCTGGGCCGCCCCAGGATGGAGCCTCAAGGACCGCATCCTGCTCAGCGGCAGGTACGGGTGGCAGCGGCGGGAGGGGACACCGCACCGCGGCGGGACAACGCCGCCGGTACCCACCGGGAGCGGGACCGGGAGCGATCCGGGCGGGCCAGGAGCACCGAGAGCCTGCATCCGGGGATGCCCAAGCCCGCGACGCTCTGGGGGCCGGACCCTGGCTGTCCCGAGCCCAGATCCCGCGAGGGGAGCAGGGGCCGGTGGCCGGAGCAGCCCCGCGAGGGTGGGCAGCCCCTGAAGGTGGGCATTCCACGAGGACGGGCTTTCCCCGAGCATAGGCAGCCCCCGAGGGTGGGCATCCCCCCGAGCACGGGCAGCCCTGCCCGGCCGTACCCCCCGCGCTGTGCTACCCGTTGTCGGAGCGGGGATGCTCCAGTGCATCGCTCCTTCTGCCCACGGGGAACGGGTCAGCTCCACTGACCCAGGGGGGTGGAAGGGATGAGACGTGGCAAGAACCCCCTCTCTGTTCTGGTAAGAAGCCTGTCCCCGGCAGGCAGCACTGGCATGGCCACCCCTCACTGTGGTGTGTCACACTCCTGGGGTGTGCATGGAGTGGGTGTCTAAGTGCTCCCAGCTCTCCTGGTGCCAGCCCTGTGCCTCAGCCCTTCTGGGGTCACGTTTGGAGTGACCTGTTTCCTCTCTCTCGGTTTCAGGCTGGTGTCAACGGTCCAAGCCACGATGGCCACAGTGTCGGGGATCACGGTTATCCTCAGCTGCAAGAACGTGGTGTACGACAGGTAACCCAGCGCCCACTGTCCCTCGGGGAACACGCAGAGGATGTGCCTGGCCAGCTCCAGGGCTGGAATGTTTTATGCCAAAGGCTTGCACGTACAGAGGGGAGAGGAAAACCAGTTTCATGCTCCCCTTTCCTCCACTTTGTGTGAAGGGTTGGGCAATGTGCTGGCTGTACACCCCCCCTCCACGGCACCGGCTTGTTCCGAGCGCTCAGACATGGGGCTGCTCTGCCAGCACAGTCTCCTCCACAGGATGGGCTGTAACACAGGCTGTGTGTGAGCAAAAAATATAGACCTCATCGGTTCTAAAGGGGTAGGGAGTCTCCTTGCTGGAAGCTGAAATCACTACCGAGTCAAGCAGACGTAGCGAGAACTGATTTTAGAGATGCAGCGTCTTCTCCGTGCCAAAGGGATTCTGAAGGAGTCCAGAAATGAGAAAATCAGAATGGAGTTTGCTCTGAAAGAAAATCCCGTTGCCTTGTCCTGAATGCTCTGAGATAAACTGCCAATAAGTGGCTCTCAGGAGGAGAGTGATAGTGTAATCTGGGTCAGAAGACTTAAAAACAGAGCTATTATCCAGACTAGCAGAGAAGATCGTAGGAGGGAAGAATATAATTATGCTGAGCTGGAATTTGACTGTCACACACTGATTTTTAGGAAGGGCTGCCCCGTCGGTCATTGCAGACTTGTTTTTAATACACA